CCCCCCCCCCCAAGATGAAGCAGCAGCAGCAGCCAGGAGAAAAGAGATAAGGTAGAAATGGGGCTTCTCGCTTTTTCAGCTTCTTGGCTAAATTTCAACCCCCCCCCACCCTCATATCTGGGGAGAGAAGTGAAAGGGATCCCTGGTCCCTACTGGGGAAGCATCAGCTGGAACTCACAGCACCGAAGGCCACTGACAGCATCGTCTGCATCTTGGCAGCCTCCATGGACCCAATGACCCCTTTCTTGTAAAGGAGGGCGCTGCCTGCCAGGGTCCAGAACTTCATGTGTTTGACCCCAACAGACACAAACTGTGTGTCAGAGTCAGGGCGAAATTCCACCACAAATATGCGCTCCAGGTGACCCCCTCGGCTGGCAACTTTGGCACCTGTGTGGGTGACAGCATCCGGTGGGGTCAGTCCTTCCTCAGGGCACACGCTAGGCCAGGGAAGCTACAGCCCAGACGGGTTCCCACCCCAGTGGGCCTCAGGCCCACCTCAGTGTTCCTTCAACAGCACTCTCTCCCCTTCACACTCTGTCTCCAAAGACTGGGGCGAGAGTATGTCTGGGAAGTTTCCAGAGCAGTAGGAACTGCAAATGGGAACCCCACCCCCTAACCCCACCTAGGTGTCCAAAAACAGAGCAGAGAAGGATGGCCCCAGAGAGGGAAACTTCCAGACAGGAGGAAAAGGCAGAATGACTTAGGGCAGCCCCACCTCCCTGCTCCAGCATCACCAAGGAGTCCCCCCAACCCCCCACAGGAAGCCAAATCCCCTTCCAGGTTACCACTGGGGACTCACATTCCTTTAGAAAACTTATTGCTCTCCAACATTTCTGAGAGAGTTTTCTTTAAAAGAAAAAAAAAATTCCCCATGTTCCTTTTCACATTGTGGGTTTTAGGTTTATTTTACCTTTAATATTTAATTCTGAAGTTTTTTTCCTTAATCCATTTTTTTGTAGTCTCCTGAGCTTTATTTAACCTTTGTCTTAATTAAATCCCAAATCTACTATTTATTTACTTCCGTGCCTCAGTTTCCTTGCTATAAATTTGGGATACTAATAGCTTCGTTTTATAAGGCGTTGAGATCTGTATTTGGGGTAAAAATGGGAGTTCATAACTCACTTGAAACTAATGCTTGAAATATGATATGTCAAGAGCTCTGTAAGGTTTTGAACAACCAAGGGATTTACATGGTGAAGCTCTCAGGGCAGCTATAATCATCACTTCTTTTCCTCCTTTTAAAATCCCTTGGTCTCCATTCTTTTTTTACCTGTATTTTAAATCTACCTTTTTTGATGTCATTAATTTTTATTTTAAACTTGCTACTTTTTCTTTCAAGTTTCAAAATTTAACTTATGCTCAGTGTTTTCATTCCAACTTTTAGTTTCCCCTCCCGTAATTATTTACGCGAATCTTTTTACCTCTCCCCTTATCATTTTGCATTTATTTATTTGTTTTGACGATGGCTTTCTGGTAGAATGGTGGTGGGGGGGTGTTAAGGCAGCTGGGCCTGTAGCTGTTCCTCATATGCTCCTTAAAGGAAGCCTTCTCTAGGAGAGGCCCAGGGCACTTCTCAGTGTAATTCTCTCTCTCCAGTTGGAATCCAGGACACACTGTAAAATATGTCTCACTACCTTGACTCAGAAAGTTTTAAAGTCCATGGTCTCTAAGGTTATCATAAACAATTAAAAGACAACAGACTGAGAGAAAGTGCTTGAAACTCTTATAATTGACGTTAATAATCTAAGAAGAGCAACAAACCATGAATAAACCACCCTCCCACCCCCAGTAGAGAAAGGATTTGAATAGGTGAATTAAAGAAGAAACAATCCAAGTGTCCAAAAGAGATGGAAAAAGAACGAGATAAGAGGCATGTTTTTTTTAAGCCTCTGTTCTTTCCTTGTTTGAATCTAACTATGGCGACATCTGTATTCCTCTTTGCATTGGCTTCTAGTCTGCTCACAGTGAATTACATAATCTTGTCTAGGACCCAACAGCATGCATTTTATGTAATAAGTTCATTTAAAATCACATTTTATTCTATTATATACACACATCTTCCCTCAAGTAATACTTTAGCAAAAGAGGAGGGTATAATATGCTATGTTGTGATAAGAAAAATGTATGGAAACCTCCCCAGACACATGTTATTTATTTGTAAGTAGGACTTGATGTGGAGGAAAAGGCACATTAGAGAAGTAAGGGAGAGGAGGGGACGTGTCCACAGTCAACTGGGAGGAGGTGTGGCTGGGAACAGGCTGCTGGATGTTATCACTGGCTCAGAACCCTTCTGCACAGATTGATTCCAACAGAGACAACAGGAGAACATTACCAAAGAGCAGCCTTCTGTTCTCTCTGGGAGCTTGTTTAAAGACCTGGGTCCTCCAGTCCTCTCTCAGGAGGTCAGAAGAGGCTCCAGGTGAGTAAGAGTCTGTGCCAAGGCAGGGCCAGAGCAGGTTCTGCCTGGAGGGACAGATGAAGGAAGTCGGAGAGGGAACCTGAACTTAGACAAGTCTGCGTGTGGGGACCCTGCTCTCACTTCCACCCCAGGATCTGGGACTAGGGTCAGCAATGTAAAGAAAAGTGTCACAAAGCCCCAAGAAAGGGCTTTATGGTAAGGGATTTCCCACAATGTGTGGGCTCCTCATCAGGAAGTAAAGAGGGCCATGTCCTTGGAATGTCTAGCAGAGGATGGAAAGAAAACATCAAAAAGGCATTCAGAGTAATTTCTCCATGGGATGCACCCTGCCCGACTGGAAGACGTCTCTAGTCCTTCCACGTCTAAGATGCTACTAGTCTGTAAGTTAAACTAGATTTCTCATCTGGCCCACTTGACTCACAGGGAATGAATCTACAACTACAGATGATCTACAGATCAATTATGGGGCCACTTAGACACAAAGGAATTGGTGAATAAGAAAATGAGAAGGGATAGTTTCCCAGGAACACTGTGGATCTAGCTACCTTCCATGAAATATACGACATAAGTCTCCTTCTTAACATCTTTCTCAAATGGGCCTCAGGAAGGATTGGAACTGTCCTCCTAATGTACCCATCTCTTTATAGTTCCTCCCTACCCCCTCCATGGGAAGATGAGGAGATAATGGGACTCTAGACCTCTGAATTGGAAAAGTGCCACCTCTCTGCTTGCCTGCTCAGCGTGTCCCAGATACCAGCTGCAGACAGACCTCATTAATGTCCTCACTAATTGCATTTGCTTTTGCCAGAGCAGTACCTGACCTGAAGATATACTCAGAAGCCTGTTCATCTTTAATTGTAAGACACTGTAAATTTAGTAGTAGCTAGTATGTGTACGTGTGAATGTGTGCATGCACGCGAGTGTGCATGCGTGTTGGAGGAGAGTAAGAAATTCATTAAATACACACGTTGATTGTAAAATGAGTCCCTATACCAAAAAAGTTAAAATGTATAAATAAAAAAAAATTTTAAATTCAACTTTGCTTTGGAAACTAAGATAGTGAAAGCCACCCCACTTCCTAAGATAAGGCAACTAAGGTGAGATGGCTGTAATAGAACCCAGGGACAACAGAAAGAATACTGAGGACAAGTAATTTTCTGTGAGATGTGAAGGCAGAAATGAGGATGCTGCCTGAGGAGGGGAGGCTGCCAATGTCGGTACTTCACCAAAGTGCCCAAAGACCCTTCACTAAATGGCCCAGGATTCCCAGGCCAGCCTCCACCTGGCCATGGGGCCAACAGACACAGTGACATCTGAAGAGCAGCTCTCCAGGATGCCAACAGCCCAGTTGCTGCTTGGCTAGCAGCAGTGCCTATGGTGGGCTTTGGAGTGAGGCCCATCTGGGTTCCAGCCCAGCCTGAGCCGCAGGTGAACCCTCTGGAAGGTACAGAACAGCCCCACTTGGTTTACCTTCCTGCCATCGCCAGACAGTGATGGTGTGCTCAGGGTCCACTCCCACAGACACCAGCAGCTTTCCAGTGGCGCTGAAGTTGACGTAATTCACCCCCTTGGAGTGGAAGCACCGCAGCATAGAGAGAGTGTGTTTGGTCATAGCGTCCCATATGTGGATGGAAGGTGTTGTCCCTGGGTGTGGAGAAGCACAACAGAAAGCAGTGGAGCCCAGGCAATGCTTGTGTTTGTTTCAAAGTCTTCCTTAAACAAGTGTTTGGGGGATATTATGGCTAATAGAATAAGAGCCTTACAGTCTGACCTGGCCAGAAAATACAATGGAAAATTGCTATTGAAGCAAAGCCCTATGGACGCTTACATCTAACACACATACACACACCAACACGCTTGTGGAGGATCTTATACAAAGGAAACTGGTGAGATCAGTGATTTGTATCTGCAAGTCAGACAGATACAATCAGCAAATATGATACATTGACATGATTTTGCTGTGCAGATTCAAACTACTCACGGATGGAGTGGCCTTACCTGGGGCTTCCGTGAAATCACCTGCATTGGGTGGGCAATGGCAATGAGGAAGCATCAAGGGAAAACAATAGCTAAAATAAGTCATGTTTCCAATAGTGAAGCACTCAACACCAGCATCAGAAAGTTCCAAATTAAATTTAAAAATGGACATGGGTTCAATGGAAACAAGCGGAAAGGTACTTTTGTAAGAACTGCCTTTGAAATGACAAATTAAAAACAAATAACAAACAAACATTTTACAAATGTGACTCAGTCCACATTTGTCCTCAGCAGCTTCCTAGAGTACAGAAGAGCGGGGCACACATACTGCCATCTACCCTTGCTGAACACAAGCACCAGGCTTCAAGACATGGGGGTCTTCAACACATGGGGCCTGAAAAATTATTCTTGCAAGTGCACAGATATGGGGACCATCCATTTATTTACTCTCAGACTCTGATATACCTTTCCTTTTTTTCAGAATCACCAATCGCTGAATGTGAGAACTTAGGTGACAGCAGATACATTTAAGGCTGAAAAAATCAACAGCAACATCCGCAAGATGAGTGTCAGCTATGCACCCCCTCTCCCAATAACTGCTACAAAGTTGACGTCCCTGCTCAGTTGCACGAGCCTCAGCTGCTGCATGGCCCCTACCTATCTGGCTTGTGGCCACCACGTTTCTGTACTTGGGGTGCTGGTTCACTGTGAGGCAGAGGATGTCGTCCGTGTGCTCCAGGTAGAAGCTCTGGCTGCCTAGGAGAGAGGTGAACAGTGGAAACTAAAGAACTTTCAAGAAAATCCCTTAGCTTCATGTGTAATTTTTGGAAACTGCTTGTAAGAAGCAGCTTAAAGCCCCCCAATTCTTACTTTAAAAGTCATTCTTGGAAAGACAGGAGTTTGATTATTCTTCTTCTTTACATAATCTTTACAAGGGCTGGGAGAAGAGCCAATGTCTGTCATCTAGCATACTCAAGCTCCACCTCAGTCCCTCTCCCTGTTCTATGTGGTGCCAGAGCACAGTCCAAGTGTAGAGGCTTCCAGAGCCCAGAATAATGAGGGTGAGAGTTTTCTCCTCTCCATGGTACAAGGTTGACAGCCTCTTTATGTCTGCTTCTAGGCAGGGGAGGGTGAGAGGCCTGGAGAGAACCCTCCTCTGTGTAAAATGGTACTATTTAGCGTGAAGGAACTTTGTGGATGAGAAATACTGAGGGAACCCTTTAATCACTTTATTTGCCAAGTATAAACCCACTGGTGTGCCCAGGTGACATAGGTCAAGGCTTTATCACCAAAGCTGAACTCAACATGTTGCAAAAAGGGGAAAATCGGAAAGAAATACTTTATTGTCCATCACAGCAAATGGATTTGCTGACTTCCCAAAGCGGCCACTTTAAACCCACTTGGATACCCCAAAACAAAAAAGAGAATGATACAAAAGGAAATGAAACATTAATTCTAAATTAATAGGTGGCTAGAAAATTGAGAAAATGTGTAGAAAATTTTAAGACCTCTTTCCCCAAAAGCGACACAAACCAATATGTGCCCAGTGACTTCCTGTCTAAATCTAAGCATGAATAATTTGACAGAACTAACAAGGAATATAAAAACTTGAAAAAAGGTTTGTTTTGCGATATGAAGACAAAATGCTGACATATTTAAATTTGGAGGTAAAGATAATGGACGACTGTTACATTAACTTCTAAATGTTTCTTTTTGTTTGAAACATTTCTTATTTTTTAATTAAAGTCATATGGTTAAAGGACTCCTTGGGTATTTTTGTTGGTTGGTTTTTATTCTCATTGTACATGTAACTCAGGAATCAGAACAACAACAACAGCAACAAAAACTTGAAAAATCCAAACTGCTGAAAACTAATGAGAAAAGTCGCCCTGTGCTTTCTGTCTGTTTTGGTGTCGGGGAGTCTCTCAGCTCCATGCCCTGTTCTCTCTGGCTTCTCTCCATGTCTTTTGCTTCAGCTGTTGGAAACATGGATGGCTCCCAAGTCAGGCTGGGCACAGGCCAGAAGGGAAGGGGACCTCGACTCCTGGAACTGAGTCTGGGCTCCTCTAGGACTAAAGGATACCAGCCTTGAAGCGAGTGAAATGGCTCTAAAGGGAAGGAGAATGGTTAAGCTTCAGGCATCAAAAGAGTGGGAACCAGACATCAGGGTGGACGTGACGAGCTGGGTTGAGAAGGTGGCTCCCACCCCCTACCTGTGGAGAGGTTCTGGACGATGCCGGCCGCTGCCGTGTGGAAGATGATGTCGGCCCCATCGTTAAGATAATGCAGGTTGTTGCGGCAGTCAAATCCTCTGTAGCCAAACACATGGTCCAGAGCCAGCTCCTGCATGCACACATGTACACACACACACACACACACACACACACACACACACACACACACGTTAAAGCTGCTCCAAACCCATAACCAGGAGCAGCAATGCACGCTACAGGACGGTATGGCTAGTAAGGGCCACCACTCACTGAAAGCATTTTGCCTCTTGACTGAGATAAAATGCAGACCTTTATTTAGTTCCCTGAAATGCTATGGGTGGCATAGAATTTTAGTGACTTTTCAAAATAAGCCAGATTTACTTCCTGGATTCTTAAGTAAGCTAAAGTGCACTGATCTGATGCCCTGTCAAGGTGATCTGGAAGTCCTGCCTCTGTACTTGGCCTGCCCTTGATGCTCAAGGTGAGCTAAACAGCAGCTCAGGTTTGTTTTGAGAAGTCCCCTAGATATAGCTGGGATGGGCAGAGCAGAATACTGGGGCAAATGCCATGCTCATTCTGTGCTCATTCTGTCAGTTGGCACTTGCCCTACAAAGCTTCTGCACATTTAGACTTTTTCCCCTCCAGCAACTAGATACTATTCTGGGTTTATAGTGTTCTCTCCCTCCTGTCTCATCTTCTATGACAAAGAGCAGTGGCTGACTCAGATCAGTTCTTAATTCCATTCAACACACACATATTGGGCAGCTCCTCCATGCCTGGCACTGTTCTGGTTGATAGCATACAAGGTTAACAGGATGTGGGTCCTTTTTCTGATTTTGGCCCTTACTCTCTCCAAAGTTCGCCAATTGCAAATATCAGCTTAATTCTCTTAAAATACCATGCCACCTCTTTACTCAAAAACATTTGCTGTCTTCTACTGACCCGGGAGAAAGCCCAAACTCTTAAAGTTGGCCCAGTGGGCCCCATTCCCACACATCTGACTGCTGCACTCCTTGATCAACTTGACACTCAAACCACATAAGCTTTCTCATTGTTATGATTTTGCTTTTTCAAATTCTCAACTGGAAAGCCCTTTTGCTCAACTCAGTCTCTACCCACCCCTCAGACTCTCTGCAAGGTACGTCCCAGATAGTATGTGTTTAATACATGACTCTGCTCCTGGAGTGAGTGAACTATGGGCCCAAGCTGGACCAGTCAGTCTCCCTCAGGCATTTAGAATTGGGAGCAATGAATTTAATTTGTGTTGTGGTGGGGAATCACAGGCAATGAGCTTGGAAGGTGGCTCTGGGTAAGGTTCTGAAACCATGAACTTGAACCCTATTAGTAATGTGAGAATCTCCTGAGTCCTAAAGCGTAAAGAAAAAACTCTAGGGTAGCAAGCAGGTCTCTGTGAAAACAGCAGGCTCACTGGAGCTGATCTTCAGGTCTCAATGACTAAGCATGAACCCTTTCACTCACTGGGTTGGTGGTCAAGGACCTGAGAACTCCTTTAACTTTCCTGCACCACCACAGTGTCCCCATTTGCAAGTAGATACAACAGCACCTACCTTACATGTGAAAGATTTGTTTAAAATATTTCATGGGAAGTATGAAGCATAGTGCCGGCACATGGGAAGTTCTCATGCAACATTAGAGATAGTAAATGAGCTCTCCCTGTGCAAATGTTCACGTGCCCTCTCTCCCAACTCTTCCCCTTTCAGCAAGGGATACCAAGGGCCTGAGTGGTAGGAGGCATAGGGCAAGGGCCAGGCTTGAAGGACATGGGGCATTTCAGAGTTAGTACTGATCAACCTGGTTGTAGGGCTGGGGAAGGAGGAATGTGACCTGGATGTGAATCTGGTTCTGGGGATGATGGACACAATGCCATGTAGAAGGAGAGGGGACAAGAGAGAGCTAATGGGTTCATTTGAGATGTCCAACAGGCCATCTTAGAACGTTGATATCAGAGCAAAAGCACAGTAACTTAACCTCCTCACCTCAACCAGTTTCTTTTTTTTGGTGATATTGTTCTTCTGGAGTTTTTCAGGCTGGGGAGCTGCTCGGCTAACAGGTGGTCTGAAACAGAGAAGTCAAAGGAAGCACAATGTTGAACAAAAGGCTGCTTGCTCGTGACTGGCTAAGGCCGGGCTTTTTGATTTTCTCCCTGATCAGTGGACCCTCTGCCTGGTGTTGTTCTGTCCTGCCTACTTCCCTCACCCTGTCCTATAAAAAGTGGCTTTTGACACAAATGGTCCTATGTGGTTCCCCTGGGTTTGTGGTGCTGAGCTGGGCTCCTGCATACCTAAGGCACCCAGGTCAGCAGCTGCCCCTCCTTCCCCACCCGGCATTTTCCAGGGAGCCAGGAGGAACCCCTGAGCTAGAAGGGCTTGTTTTAGAACTAAGCAGGAGCCTAAGTTAAAGTTCACTTACTGAACTCACTGGCCATTTTCCAGACAGGGATGTGCCAATGCTGTTCAGAATCAGGTGGTCAAAGTTCACAACATGGTGTGAGACAGGACTCACAAGCCAGGTTTTGGAACTGGCCCTAAGGCCACTTGCAAAGTGCCCAGGCTGTTCTGGCCACACCAAAGGGCAAGAGGGAAGCAAAGTACTGACAGAACTTTGCTCTTACCCTGCCCTATACCTCAGGGCAAAGATCTGCACTATTACCATACCAAAGGTTGCTTTTCCCTTCTCAGTTTAGGGGATTGAGGCCTCCAAATTCAATGAAGAGATTTTATAAGGAGGAAATCTTAAAGGTCCCCTGCTTGAGTAGGCCAAAGCTTTGTGGCAAAGGGTTCCCTTAAGTCAAACTTCTCTAAGATTAGGAAAAGAGGGTGTTGGGGGCTTGGGGGTGGGGTGGGGGGCAGGAGAACTGCTCCACTCCTGCTGCTCCTTCCAAATCCATTAGTTATTGTTCTGGGGAAACGCAAAGAGAAAGGATTACCTTGATCCCCTTGGAAGCAGCAAACAAAGCCAAGTGAGAAACTTAGTACAGTTTAGAGCAGCATTAGCAACCACCTCACTCATGCACAAGCACTTTCCAAGTGAACACATTCCTGTGTGGCACAAACCATGCTTCCCCAGCATGCCAGCAAAGAACTAAAACAGAAATGAAAGAGTGCACCAGTCTACAAATTCAGAAAGCTCATACCCTGGCGTCTCTGGGCAAACTCTGCACTAAAGCGCCTACGGAATGGGGAGAAAAAAAGGAAGCTTGTCAATGCTTCCGGCAAGCTCTCTGCGGCTTTACAAGCCTGGGGACTCTGCTTATTTTAGAGTGTGCTGGGGAGAAACTTGTTGTCAGAAAAACAATGACATCCTCCTGGATGTTGTAGGGAGTTATGCACAATGGGTGCTTTGTTCCCAAATTAAGTTCGACTCATAGTTTAGCCCAGTCTTCCCAGTGTTTCTCGGCAGGTCGGACTGCCTGCTGAAACAGCTCGTGGATTTTTAGTGCAGGAAAAAACAAGGTACCTTTATTTTCTCAGAACCTCTTCAATCAAAACATGTTATGTAATCATAAGTGATAATTGGACCAAATGGTATTATAATCACTACTGAAGGATGAGGAGAGCACACACCCCCGGCTGACATCATTGCCACCAAATTGAGCAAAAATCGCAAGGCTGGGGCATGCCAGTTCTCACAATTAGACACTTCCTGCACATTAATTATCGCTTCCCAGGACATCTGCTCTTTCTTCTGTTTTAGTGGGACTTTCAAATGAAATCCGTGGGTTTCTTCTTTCACCTAAAAATGTTTAAGTGGATGACAAAAGCAAGCCAGGGGCTGTGATGACAGCAAGAGGTCACTGCAGCGGCAGACGGTTCGGTTCAGGGAGGCATCATTTAAGATTCAACACAGGGCTCTTTCCCAGGGTGCACATGGTTGTATAATATGCAGCATATTATACAGTGTAGAGAGAGTATGCATACGAGCACAAACGCTGTGTACTTATATATACACAAGATTGTATATATACACACAAAAGGCAATCGGTGCTTTTTTTCCACCTTGATTTTCAGTTAAAAAAAAAAAACACTGAAAAGTAAAGCAATCTCAGAACATTTCTTTCTTATTTCACAAGCATATGTTTACAGCGGTATTTCTTCAAAACTGAAGATGAGAGGAGCAAGGGGGAGAAACCTGCGTTGTGGCAAATTCAGGGGGTTCTAATAGGTAGTGACCCTTCGCGTGTGTGGGTACTGCATGAACACTAGTACTGGATGCTCACCGAACACCTGTGGTTTTCCAGAGTGCTGAGGATACTTACTTGACAATTCCCTGCCTCCAGAGGAAAGCAAGTTAAAACACAATACAAGTATTAAAGGCTTCTTTCCAAGCATCTATAAACAGTGTTCGTAACATCAAACGTGGGAGGAACTGCCAAAAAATCTCAAACATAGCCAAACACTGGAGGTTTAGCATTTTTCAGCAGATCTGAATCTTCCAGATTTAGATTCCACTGGAAATGTGATGCTGAAAAGCTTTGCTAAGTGGGAAGGAGTGGAGGGTGCGAGGGCATTCACTCACTTTTCAGAACCATAAACTCCTTAGAGTTGGGTGTTCCCATTTGGCCCAGGATGGGAGAACCAGGAAGACCGTGAGAGCTACTAGATGTTGGCAGGAGACTCCACAAAGTTAAGCACTCGAAGGTGAAGGGGTAGAGAATCACTGTAGGGGGTGGAGACCCAAAAGGAAGGAGGGCTTTGAAGGGAATCAGGAAACAAAGGGGAAAAAGAGCTTTCACTGAGCAAGAAATTGAAGGATGGAGTCTGGCGAGAGAGCAAATTAGATTAATGAGGGTGATGGACAGGCCTGAGCTCCAGAGAGTAGAAGAGAAGCTCTGCCGGGGCAGACAGGTGATGGCAGGAAGCCCAAGGAGAGACCTATGAGGCCGAGTTAGGACCTGGTGCTGGGTAAGGAGGTGGCCCTGCTCTTGGGCTCAGTGCTGGGGGTTAGGAGGTGCACAGAGTAAAGGTCACTGAAGATCATTAAAGGTCATTGAAATAGGTGGCAAGCTCTGTAGGCAGTGTAGAACCATGAGAGCGTCAATCTCTGCTGTTCTTCCACTGCTTTGCAGCCAGGCTGCTGACGAGAAGTGTAGACTCAGAGATGTGTGGAGTGTAGTTCTAATGCAGGGTCTCACCCCACCAAGGCCCACAGGGATGGCCCATGCCCTGGTTGCTTTCCTATCTCCTCATCCCTCCTCAAGATGCTGGACTGGCTGAACAGGAGGAGGAGCAGAGCTCACAGCAGCCTGAGAAGCACAGGGAGTTCGGAGCCAAGGATCTTAGGGAAGCTTCTGTGATGGCTGAGTTGTAAGCCAAGAGGAGGTGCTGCGAAAGCCAACTGGGGGCTAGGGCTCAAGGGCTGGAGAAACAGAGAAAGAAAGTTGCTCCAATGCAACTTTCAAAGTTATCAAAGTTGTTTTGATAAAGAGGGGTCTGGCAGTGGGGAAACAGTTCCGATTAGCCACAAAATACAACTTTTGTTTTTAGTGTTAAGTCAGACAGTGTTTAATGTTCAACATGCTTTTTGAAGAAATAACTTTGTTTAGGTTCCAAAAATGGGCCATAAAATGCTCCAAGTGTTTTCAAAATGTCTTGGGGAATCCAGCTACCTTTGGATGATCTTAGGTAGGAACCAATACATGATCTGCACTCCATTTTAGAATTGTTCTCCAACAAGATTTGTTACCCCATGAATGGACTTCTGAGACTCAAATGAATCCCCAGACATTTACAAAACTGTGTTTGCACATGTGTGGAAAATGAGGCATGATTTAATTTGATTTTCAAAGAAGTCTGTGATTTAAGAGCAAAATAGAGAAAAGCCAGAAAGGGTGATAAATTTGAGAGAGAAATTAACTAAGATTTGCTGTTCTAGGATAAATTCAGGTTTAGGAAAAATCTCCAAAGCCACGAGGCTCTCTGTTATCAAAATGAAAGGACCTGGATTCTGTTAAGTATATTCCCGTGTCTTCCAAAACCATCCACTGAGCTGTTCCATGGCAAAGTGGAGTTAAGGGAAAAGCATCAGGCAGGAGAGAAATAGAATATCCTGAAATAAGCCCACCATGTTGAAAATACTCTTGACTGAAGCCTATGACAAAAGTCTTGGATTTTTGTGAGGGGTGGGGTACAAGTGATTGAACTCAGGGGCATTCGACCACTGAGCCACATTCCCAGCAATTTTTTTTTTTTGTATTTTATTTAGAGATAGGGTCTCACTGAGTTGCTTGGCACCTCACTTTTGCTGAAGCTGACCTTGAACTCGTGATCCTCCTGCCTCAGCCTCCCGGGCTGGGATTACATGCATTTGCCTCCAAATGGCTGTTTTGTTTTGTTTTTAGTGGGAATAAAGTCTCAGAGTTGGCCATTTTAGGTGAGTGTAAAAATATCTGGATACAAATTGAGGGGATAAAGGATAGAGCAGAAGGAACTAAGAGTAAAGATGGGCAGATTAGTGAAGAGGTCACTGCAGTAACCCAAGGGAGGAAGGATGAGCTTGATCGGCATAGTGGTCAAGGAGAAGGAAATAAGCAATTATTTAATAGAATATCTTTGAAATGGGCTTCACTACACTTTGTAGGGGATGAAGTAATAAAAGTAGTTCGAGTGGAATGCCAATTTTCTAGCTGGGGGTCTGGGTGGATGACGGTACTATTGATAGAGACAGGAGAAGAGGGTTTATAGGGAAGATGATGGCTTCACTCTGGACAAGTCATGCTTCAGACATCTGCAAGATGGCTACAGGAGTTGGAAGTTCAGCTAAGGGATGGGACTCAGAGATATGACTGTGGGAATCATGAGCTGATAGAGGAGACATACGAGATTCATCAGGTACAGGGTAAAGAGAAAAGTCAGCCAAAGGTGAAATCCTGAGGGCTAACACTAAATAAGGGACTGGAAGATGAAGCAAAGAGGGACAATGAGGAGAAACAGAAAAGCAGGAGTAGGGCCAAGACAGGTTGTTCCAAAAAGGTGCAATCTGTACACGTGGAAAAATAAGATTAAGATTACGTACCCCATTTGAATCAAATGTATGATATGTCAAGATCATTGTAATGGTGAATGAAAATGGTGAATGAAAATGGTGAATGAAAGAAGAATGCCTAAACTGCACTGTCCAGTATTGTAGCCACTGCCACGTATGGCTATCTAGGACTTGAACTGTGGCCACAACAAATAAAGATGTACTCTAACTGTAAAATACATACCAGATTTAAAAAGCCTAATAAAACTAATTTAGAGGATATAAAGTAACTCATTTTAAAAAAATTATAGGTTGGCATAATATTTTTAATACACTGTGTTAAATAAAATATATCATTAAAATTAACTTCACCATCTCAACCTTTTTAATCTGGCTGCTAGACAAATCACACATGGGGTTCACATTATATTTCTATTACATGATACTCATCTGAAAGAAAGAGCGTTGACTAGATTAGGGAATTAGAAAGTATCCATGTCAGGAGAATGGCAGGGACAGAAGACAGAGAATAAAGGAAAGACTCTGTGAATCCTGTACAAGAAGGGGAGAAGGGAAGGAAGGAATATGTATGAGAGTGTATGAGATGAATTGAAGGCTTTGTGGGGGAAGGAGTTGGGTGGGAATGAGAAACACTGGAATGTGTTTCCTGGCGGGGAACATGGATCCAGCTAAGGGACAGTGACACCAGACACAGAAGAGATGATGAGGGAGAGGGACACGGATATCAGCAGAGGATCCAGCCTTGAATAAGAAGAGGGACTCATTGTGTCTAGGAAGAGAAGGGAGGATGTAGAAAGCAATACAGAAGAAAAAGAACTGTCAAGATGGAGTTCATGTGCAATGGCTTCTGTTTTCTCAGTGACAGAGGGGAAAATGGCTATCTGCCAAACCTAGGGGGCAGAAGGTTGAGGAGGGGGCAAAAAATTTGGCTGACTGCTGGGAGGATGGCAAAGCAGCCAACCAAAGAGAAGAATAAAATGAACCAGAAGCATACAGACTAAGTGGAGCTAGCAACATGGCATCTCTGTGGGGTCAACCTGCACTAGGTGTGGTTTCCTAGTGGAAAAGTAGGAAGTAGGAGACTACAGGGGTAAAGGTCAAGTGGACTGGGAGAATGACAGTGGGCAGGCAAAAGAGCCAGGCTACATACGAGGGGGCTGATAAACTCAGGGGAAAAAAATGGAGGTGTCTAGGCATCAGATGTCTTCATGAGAATAGAAATGTGTGCCGAGAATGAGAAATCCAGAGGAGAGAAGGTTAAGTCACTGAAGGAGAAAGAATGGGTGAGGATGATGCACACAAGGCATGGCAGGAGCTGGGGTCATCCAGGTGACATTAGATGTATTCCTCAGACACAGGAAGTTGATAAATGAAAGAAACAGGGAGGAGCAGAAGATGGCAGAGTATTAAGTGAATGTCAAAGGAGCAGGAGGGAACAGATTTCGGAGTGTGCCATTACACTTTGAATACACCCACAAGAGTATCCCTCCCCTCCTCGCTGTATAACCCATTAACATTATTTTGGGGGCATAAACTGAGCATCCAAACAATTGCTTCTACAAATACCTCCTTGGTGACCACATTTTTACCCACAATTGTAGAAAGAGGTCAGTGATCCTGATGGTAATCCACTCCCTCCAAACAGTATCTGTGAGCTTTTCAGAGAGCCCACTGAAACAATCAGACATAGTCTACAGGATGCTCCCTTGTGACAGAAAAGTGCATACTTATTTATCATTTTTAAAAATCTCCATATGTGAATAGGTTTCATTTAACTGATTAGGTTGCAGGAGTGTGATTTCCAAGGTACTTTAATCTTAAAAAAAAAAAACCCAAAATACATTTTCTAGCACATTCCCTCTACATTTTTATGCCCTGACACACTCCTTGTGATAAAAGGTGAACAAATTATCTTGTAATGAATAGCAGCTATAATTCCTAAAATTGTCAGTTATATGAAAGTCACAGCTTTGCTTCAAATCATGACAGAAAACCAAGAGATTGAATAAGGAAAATCACTTATGAAAGTAGCATTAAATTCACTTTAAAAAATCAACTATTTGAGTTTTGGTGGAGTTACCCAGCTAAACATAGGCCTGTAAAATAATTTCAGCATTTCAGGGTTTAATAGATTATATAATTTCAGTTCCTTGCACCCACCTTCGTAAAAAGAACAACCTAGCTATGCTCTATCTGCTCAGAACAGCTCTAAGGGCGGAACCCTCACAGAATTATGGGGAGGAGCAAGAGAGGAGAAAGCAGCCTAGAGAGGGAGGCTCTGGGGGAGAG